TCGTTGGCGTCGCCTGCAGACGGCCATCCCGTCTCCGAGACCCGCACCTCCACCCTGCAGCCCTTCGAAGAGGGCGCAGCTGCCGCAGAGATGGCGTGGTACACGGCGTCAACCTGGGCATGGAGAAGGTTGGCGTAGCGGAGGCCGGTCGCCGCGTCCGTGAAAGCGGCGGCCCCCGGATCGAGTAGCGCGTACTCGAGCCCGACGCCGGAAGGGTCCTCCGCGTAGGCGAAGTAGGGGTATGCGTTGACGAAGAGTGGGGAACCGGTGCGGGCATGGAAGGCGAGGAGAGGGCGAACGTAGGGGAGGAGGTCCGGGCGAAAGACGGCGGCGGAGGGCGGGTAGGACGGGGAGGCGAGTACAGCGAGGGAGTGGGTGGAGGTGACGATGACGTCTCGATCGAGGCTGAGGGCGGCGAGGGCATCGTGGATGTTCTCCATGGCCGGGGCGAGGCAGCGGGCGAGGGCGGAGGCGTTGGTGCCGGTGAGGACCTCGTTGCCGACGGTGACGGCGGCGATCTTGGTTGCAGGGACGAAGGCCTGGATGTGGGTGCGGGCCCAGGCACGGGCCTCAGCAGGGTCAGCGGCCACGGATGGGAGGCAGCGGTCGGGGAGGCCGACAACGAGCTCGATGCCAGTGTTTGCAAAGGCACGGAGCACGGCGGGGTCGGCGTCGTAGAGTCGTACACGCCCGACGCCGATGGAGGCGAGGAGGCGGGGCACGGACTCGGGCTGGGGTAGGTTGTTGGCCACCCGCCCGTAGTTGACGCCCGCCAGGGAGGCAGATGTAGCAGCGGAGGGGACGGAGAGGGCGATGAGGAGTAGGAGGAGGAGGGCAACGAGCAATGCCATCGTAGAGGAATGCGGGGCCATGAGTGTTGCGCTCAGGCCCCGGAAGAAGAAGGGTGGAGACGAAGTGACGGCGGAAAGGTCGAGTGATTAGAAGAGCAGAAGTTGATCGAGGCGGAAGGAGGTGCAGTACAGCTGGGCTATTTTGTCTGATGATGGCATGAGAAGGGAGTGACTGTTTGAGAGCAAGTGGAAGAGAGTGAGTATGCGAGAGGACAGACGGAATCCTCGCGGATGGGATATGTCAGACGCAAATTTACAAATCCGATTTGGAAAACCGTCCCTACAGAACTCGAGACGGAGACCGTGGTGGTGCACATGACCGGGGTGGGGCCTTGAGGGTGTGGGACCGGAAGCACCACCTCGCCTTGTCGTGTCCAAGCAGTGAGTTAAGCATGGAACTTCTACCGGGCAGCGATAGTTCCAAGCAGTGAGTTAAGCTGGAGAGTGGCGCTACGGGCATGTATGTTTTGCTCTTTATTTTTCTATATTAAACAGCACTCACTCGTGGCATTTGGGCTTCCGTTGTGGGTGTAAAAGGGCATGCCTCCAGCTGTGGGTGGATCATTCCAACTCCATTCTCCATTCTCCATTCTACTTTATTGCATTGTCCAGTGGACTCGCACGATGCAGATGTGGCTTTGTCCGCACCGCACGTCACTCACCATCGAGGCCATCGTACGCCAAGCGAGGGAGATGTGATATTTGATTTGTGTTCAATCTTTAATTGGGTTCTTATTATGTTCTGTAAACACGACGTTCATCGTTCTCCAGAAATTTATAAACGGGTCGGTCTCAGATAGTCATGTTAATTAGAACTTCACAGGGTAAGGAACTGTGCTGCGTTTCTTGGTATGAACTGATAGAATAAGAAATAAATCAGCGATTATTTGTGCAAAGTATTTTAAATTGTTTGTAAAACTTCCGCCGTGAGACTATTGAGGCATCCTGACCACCTTTCTCATTAACATTTAATGTTTTCAGAGGCAATGTAGTAAATGTAGTCCAGAATCCGCCTTTAATTTTTAATGCAGGTCGGACAGTTTAACCTGGGTCTTGCATTTCCAATTCAAGTCTATCTCAAAGCCCAGAGTTAGGTGTAACACGAGGAAATCATCATCTCTGTATTGAACTTTATGATCCATCCATTTCGACAAGCCACTATGATTTTGATTATTTTGCAAGGTTGATAGAATTAAACTCAAAAAATGCCTTCAATATGCTAAAACCTCAAGCAAGCTACAAAGGGTGATTGCTGAATAGAAACACTGGTGGAAGTTGAAAACCAGAAAAAAGGTGAACAGAAAACATATGAATGCAAAATCAGCAGAAGCAGCAGAGTCTTGGGAAAAACTGTGTGAGCGGAAACAAAGAATTCAAACATAAGTCTCTTTTTTTTTGTTAATCAATAACTAAAACTAACTGATTGATAATTACACCTAATCAGTCCAATTAATTATTATTGAAAGATCCATATTATATTCATTAAAAACCCAAAAAGAAAAAAGAGAGATCGATAAACATGAATGCCACTTGACCCATCAAACCCATGACTCGAATCACCAAGACCTAAAGCTTTATCTGGACGTTGCAAAACTTCACAAAAAATAATTTTAAGTAATTATTTGTAAAACAAGCCTCCTAATTTCGTGCATCTAATTTTTTTTTATCTATATAGTCCAAACTAAGCCTGATCCAAAATAAAAATTCATTGCACACCCTCTTCATCCTTCCATTTCCCTTTTAGGGTTAGGGCTTGCCCAAACTCAGATGCATCAGTTAGTGCATCTGAGTAGGATTTGAGTAGGATTTGTGGGTAAGGATTTGGATGATGAGAATCAAATGGTGAAAAACAGTGTTTTTGCTGAAATTATTAGAAAATCTCAGTTTTAAAGGCACTTAAAAAACTCGAAGAGGATAGTTTAGAATATAAAATTCAAGTAATACTTTTACAATTTATACTTATTATTTGGTATTTGACTATATTTATTATACCAAACAAGACAAGTGTATCTCTTACTTTACCAGGAAGAGCAACAACAATACAAGTAATTATCATAAACATTGACGAAAGTGTTTTATTGAGAAAAGCCCAACTTCTTTTTTCTTTCTGCACAAAGCTTTCATGTTTTTAACTTGCTCTAAAGGACAATCTCGCTCAAGAGTGTATCAGAATTAAGAAAATGGAGCATTCTGCAAGAATTTCTTAAAATCAAAGCACTCTATGGCAAAGGACAAAAATTTATGGTTTCCTTGCATGACTAATAAATCGTCTATGAATAATAAATATTTACTTCTTTGAGTCAGATCCTGAAATTATTAGGATCAGAAAGGTAACGAGCGATGAAGTTCTTTTAATCACTTTTTTTTTTTTCCTTTCTTTTCCCCAAATGTTATCACAAACTTGTAAAACAGAAAGAGCAAGAAAGAAGATGATAGTTTGGATTGTTGCTGCAATTCGTGATGAAAACATTGAAGCCGACTATTTTTGTTTCTACTACTGCATCCTACCTAATAACACTCCATAAGAATCAATAAATGATGATTTAAAGCATGAGAAACCAAAATTGAAGATGGCATCTACCAGTTTTGAAGATGGCTCTCTCATCCGTCTTTCTTTGTGCCAAGCTCTCGCGTGCACTCGACGGACACGGGGAGCAAGGCCCACAAGCTGACACTGTAGCGGCAAGAGAGTTGGGCCCACACAAGGACCCATCGGGTAGGAAAATGCCACGGTTCCCAGCGATGAACTACGACCACCACCACCGATAGCAAATGCAAGGGGGAGCGCGACTCCTTCGCCGTAAGCAGCAGGGATCCACGTTGGCGGGACCACCACCGGCGGCGAGGACATGGCCGCAAGCACCTGCGATGCACGATCAAAAGCCAGTGACCCTTCACCGGCCCAAGTCAACGAGGAAGCTATCCGAGAAGTCTGCGATTCCACGCTAACAACAGGATTTGCCGGTGGAAGACCCCGATGGCCAGAGACATCGTCAGATCAAGAGTGACTGCGGGCGACAGAGAAGAATCGAAAGCCAGCGTCCCTTCATCTCATCCTCATCTTTATTGTTGATTACTGGTGGTATGTTTAATATAACATCATCATCTAAATACAAAGCTCTCTCTGAATATTGATTTTTTTTAATATATAACAATATTTTGCTCAAATTCATCTAGAGCTTTCCACAAACTATCACATCATGAGTCAATAATAGAAATTAAGGCAATGATAGCTCAATCTAAAACTCACGATTCATGAGGTATCAAAATTGTAGGCACTCTATTTTTGCAAATTTACCATATGATATCTCATTCTCGTTTACATGGTCATTGCTAACAGTGGGTTTGATATAGCATCATTCAAATGCAAAACTCTCTCATTTTTTACATGTTGACTTTTATTGTATGCAATAATATTTTATTCAAATTTCAAACTCTATTTTTACATAAATCTATTATATGATATCTGATCCTTGTCTTGGCATCCAAATGTAGGTCATATTGTTAAATTATATGATCTTATCTAATTTAATAGGATACATGATTATGTGATCTATCTAATTTAATAAGATATATTATAGATATGATTGAATTCTAATGATGATTATTAATCAATAGAAAAAAAATTTGTATGATCCTTTAGGAGATGAAGATATCAATGAGATATCATATACAATAAAAATCAACATTAGAACCATAAGAGAGCTTTGCATTTGGAGGATGCTATATCAAACCTACAACCACTTATCAGATGAGAACGAGACATCAAATGATATACATGTAAAAGTAGATTTCTTGTAGTTTAGATTTCTCATGAATAATAGGATTTACATGAAAATTGTACACAAAATATTGGGCGATCAGTGTCTTGATTTTTATTACCAACAACTGATAAAGTGATAGTTTGAAGGGAGTTCTAAATGAATATGAAAAAAATATTATTATGCATAATGAAAATCGATATCCAGAACCCGAGAGAACTTTGCATTTAGAGGATGTTATATCAAACATCCTTCTAGTAACCAAAAATGAAAAGGAGGATGAGTTGCCATATAGTAGACCTACAAAAACAAAGTTCAAGCAGTATTGATGGCTCATGAACAGTGAAGTTTTGATTAAAATTATACACAAAATATCAGGTGGTCAATGTTTTAGTTTTCATTACTAACTCTAGATATCATAGTTCATGGGAAACTCCAAATGAAAATCAAATCGAAAAAAAAGTTTTGAATGTGAGAAAAATACTATTGCAAAAAATAAAAATTAATGTTTAGAATATGACAGAGCTTTGTCTTGAGAGGATGCTATATCAAACCTCCCACTAGTTAGCAACTACGAAGACAAGGATAAAATATCATACAGCAAGCCCTGCAAAAACATAGTTTCAGTAGACTCATTAATAAAAGATTTTATTGGAAAGAATCCATAAAATATTGAGTCATTATTATATCATGTCTCCCTATAATTTATTGTACGCATAAAAAACACAATATTATAAAGGCTCACAATAGGACTAATTGTTTAGCTTTTTAATGAATTTTCAACGATAAGAAATCAATCTCTGTGATGGGACATCCCATGAAAGATATTTAATGAAGTACAACAAATTAATTGGTAGATTAAGAAGCAAAATTATGTGACATAATAAATGTATTGCATCAAAGGAATATCACTCTAATCTTATCTTTATGTTAATCTATATAAATATATAAAAGAGCTTCATTTTAAATGATATTTTTTTGTGAAATATTACTTTATATGAAAGAATTCATAAACAATTAAGGATTTAAGTAATTATTAAATTTTTTTATAAATAAATAAGATACTCGTGCATAGCCATAAAGCATAAATGTAAACATGCGAAGACAAATTTGATGTTGTGTGAGTTAGTTGAAACGTAATTCACTATGTTTTCTTAATATGGATACTTTACTCAATAAAGTTGACATCTTATTCACCATAAAATATATGCACCAACATTTATTTATTATGTTTTATTTGTTTGAAGAAAAAATTATATTTTGTGAGGCACTATTAGAGGAAAACATCAAATTTCCCTCATTACCCTTGTATACCAAGTGATAAGTCGAGGTTTTCTATGCATGTGACTTTCAAGCACATTACGTCCATGCACGACTCGGTTATATGCATACAATGACTCATTGGATATGGGCAACACGACATTCATTGATGGGATGGAAGAAGAAATAAATTCTTCTTCCTACTTCCACGAGAGGTGGCAAGTAAAACTCATCTCATTCTTATGTTGACATCTTTCTTAGTTCTTTTCTTTTCATAGTTTTTATTTTTCAATATATTGGTGCTAGAGTCTTCAGGATTCTTTATAATTGTTCTTGAAGAAGAATCTACTCTCGGTTCCATTTTAGGATGTCTTTCTCAATCAAACTTACATCAAGGTGGACAATATGTCTTAGGACTATATTTCTCATGTTTTGATTTCTCTAATCTTTTTTTCTCAATTCAATATTGTTTAATTAGATTTATCAATCCGAATGCTTTTATTTATTTGTATTCTAATAAAAATTTGATTTTTAGGATATTTTTAGGATAACTAGTGGAGTATCATGAATTTTACCACATGGAATCCTGAATAGATGTACAAAGTAGTCTTTTAATTCTACAAGGAAAATAATCATCAGCAACGGACAAAAGTTATCATTAAAAGTTAAAAAAAAATTATCATTAAAAGAATTAGTGATGACGTAAGCTATCACCAGCTTCCATTGGCGTCGGTCCCGTGGTTAAAAATTTTATTGACTAATAAAGACAATTGTCACTAAATTATGGATTTTAGTGACAACTTATTTTTGTAGCTAATACATTCAAATTATATCACTAAAAATAAATAAATTGATGAAATAATGTATTTGTGATAATATTTGATGATGGATGATTCTATCACCAAATGGCTTGACGAAAACTTTTAGTGATAACTAGTGTCACTAATTTTTGATTAAATGAAAAGAATGATGATAATTTAGTGATGTACTGACCTATCACTAAAATTGTTGATAAAATAACTTTAGTGACAAGCTACTTGAGTATGTTACTAACACTTATTTAGATGAAAAGAACACTTAGTGATCGACTGTCCTATCAATAAAATTTTTTTTGACAACCTATAATTTTTTAAGAGTTTCAAAATCATATCAGAACTTTTCACTCCTCTACATTCTGTTCTGCATTGTCTTCTACTTCCTACATAAAGTCACAATTGCCCAATTATATAAAGACAAGCCTTTAGGTTGATATCATCACAAATTTGGCATATATAAAGCAACTAATATTGAAGCATGCAGTTAGATGGTCACTTATTTCTTAATGAATAAGGATGTCTTAGTTAACAACTATTTTTATAATGTTTCAAAACTTCATGATATTAACAATCTAAATAAATTTCAATCTAGTCACATATGTTGTTACTATGCATTTAAATTACCAGAATCATTTATCCCTATCATTTTAATATGTTTGCTATGCATATGTAAATCAAACTTGCTAGATTAATTTGTTAGACATAAATAATACTAGAAAGTTAACATGCCATACCTCTCTAGTAGCCTTTGATGATAAGGGGCTTCATCAATAGAAGGAATTTCTCCATTGATTTTAAACAGGCTGCCAAACCAAGTGACAATAATTTTATGGGACCATAATATCAAAAGTAAATAAATAAACTGATAAAACTGAATTTTTTCCAATTTTGAAGTGCAGATGTTCCAATTTTGGAGCGTATAATGTAATCACTGCTAGATCAATACAGTAAAAGTTGTGCATCAAAGCATTCAAATGGTGTATTAGAGTGGAGGACGTCTTCAAGTGTTAGAGATAAAATATAAGTTAAGATCTTTACTATATGCTCAAACTTTTGGTAAACATGGTTCACCTAGTGTTTTGTTACCCATATATGAATCTTCATATGAAGCCCATTGATTTAAGCTTCCACCTTACACTTGGATCCTTTGGTCCATTTTCAAGTCACTTCCAAGTACAAATAGTTCAACAGAATCATTCTTCAGAATATCAAACAAGATTGAAATTTAAAAGAAAACACAAACTTACAGGGATGGGTACCATCTGATTTAACCTTCTGCCAACTTCATCATCTACAACAAAAAAAATCATCTGTAAGAGTTTCTTCCAGAATTGGAACATGAACTAGAGAGTCTGCCATCATCCATCTCTTCTTCGTCATCCTTGATCCATACATAAGTGAGCATTAAATATTTCAAGATGTAATAAATCAAAATATACCATTAAATCTTTAACAAACTCAAGTAAGTTCATTATCTTACGTAACACTTAATCTATAGTCTGGGTCAAACAAATCTTGTGTGAAAATAGATGCTTGTGTACACTCATATTCATGTGAAGTTCCAAAAGCATCTACATTAGTACAAGTGCATATGATCATCTCATTCTCTAAAGTAGCATGGTCTATATCAGCGTACCTTCTCTAATACAACTATTGCCAATAAAACTTGAATCGTGCTCAGTGGTGTTTCCTGAATATGAAGGGTTTGGAGAAAAGTCACCATGAAAAAAATCAATTCCCCACAGATAAACTTAGTCTTGCTCATATGTAACCATCAACTAGTGTGCCAGCAGAGGTAGCCATCAATTCCTAGAATTATTTATTGTAGCTCAAAGGATATTTCAACCGTCATCGAAATTTCCTAGCACCATTAGCAGAGATCAACCCCTGCATGAGAGGTGCTATGCTAAGTAGATAGGAAAATTAAGTCAATCCAAATTAAATGTAAGAATCAAGATAATCCGCACCATACATTTAGGAGTTGAAAGGCATGTACATACATAATGGCCATTTGAATGGAATAAACATAACATTCAGTAACATGAAATTGGATCATTCTTATATATGATGTGCTTACTAGATCCATCCATTAAATTAGAAATTTAGACAAATGATAATGTGATTATGAATTGGTTCCTTCTCAGCATAAATAAAGTTTGGGGGAAACTCCCTAGTTAAAGAACCAGTATGCTATCAGAGTTCAATGGAATTTTTATTGAATGTGTAGGAGAATTTATATAGTAAGATTAAACTCATCAGATTAGGTTTCTGTTGAGCGTTACCACACTGATATGAAATCAACATGTAGTAAGCAGTGAGTCAGCCAAAACAGTAAACCACTGTTATTCTGAAATTTGTAAACGTCCCTGGTATAGATTTGCGTGATCCTTTGCAAAGCAATCCACTAATGATGCCAAAATTTCCTTAAAGCTTACACCTAGATTTCAAAATATGTCAAATTATTTTAGTTATTCATTCGCCTATGTATGGGAGAATGATTTTAGAAACTACAGAAGATCTGACAAGAATCAAGAAACAACCACAAAATTTCATATCAAAGTATCGAAATGTGATCTGATAAGGATGCTGCAATTGCTCTTCGTGTTATAAAATAGGTCCATGTAATTAAATGCCAAGATTAAGTGCTGGAATGGCATCGAAACCGAAATCTAAGGAATAATTCAGTAGCAGATAGGATTCGTCAAAGTGTGGAACTTAAAATCAAAAATATGAACTCAAAGAGCAGGAGGATTTGATTTATTTTGTGCAATAACCACTCGACAACCAACGATGTGGAAGGGAGGCAGGGGCTGCATGAGACAGAGAGGGAAGGGAGAAGGGAAGGGGGGGATGTGGTACCGGCGAAAGTGGGTGGCGAAAGCGGTAGCTACTGTTGGAAAAGGGATACTGGAAGGGAAGAGGGAAAGGCACACTGGTTACTGGGAAAGGGAGAAGAGAGAGGAGAGAGAGAGAGGTACCGTCGAAGAGGAGGTGGTGCCTGTCGCCGGTCGCCGATCGTCGGTCGCCAATCGTCGATACCAACCGCCACCGATCACCGTTCTTTTGGAGAGAGAATCGCTCGCTATTCCGGAGTTAGGCGAGGGTTTAATTTGGAGCCATTTAATATTAGCCGTAGGATTTAATGAGTCGGATCGTTTATAAGTCTACGGTCAGATCATAGTCCATTTAATTTAATATATAATTATAAATATATAAATTAGTGCAAAACAATATTATCGCCAATAGAGTTTTTGATGACAGCAATAAAAATACTTATTAATAAAAATATTATTTGTCAACATAAGATTTTCATCACAAATTAAAATTTTTTATGATAATGTTGTTATCAATGTTGTCACCGATATTTAAATCTTGTGGATTTAGTGATAATTATTTTAGTGACAAATCATCAATTATCATTAAAAGATTATTTAGTGATAAAATTTTCACTAAACTATTTTTTAGTGACAAATCTAAATACATGGTGAAATTTTAGTGGCTAATGGTATGCTTTTTTAGTAAAAATAACTGAAAACTTTTACCAAGGGGACCGAAGAAATAAAACCTTGATCTCTCAAATTTTAGTGGCTAAACTTTTACCGGTGGAGATACCTCAAAAGGTTGATGAGCAACCTAATATTCCTTTGTTTGGACATTAATCAAGTTCACAAGAGTTTAGAGAGCAATCTTATGAATTAAGAAGAAGCACTCGTGCACGAAAAGTAAAAACATTAAGATCGGATGAGATTGATTCTCAAAGTATTTCTTTTTACCTTGTAGAAGGAACTAATGAGAGTCTTAAAAACAATTCCTCTTATTTTACAAGTGGAAGTTGATCCTAAAACGTTTAAAGAAGTTATGACATCTCGTGATGCTGCTTTTTGGAAAGATGCTATTAATGATGAGATGGATTCTATTATGTCAAACCACACTTGGGAACTTATCGATTTACCTTTTGCCTCTAAACCTATTAGTTATTGATGGATATTTTGTAGGAAGTATCATACAAATGGTACTATCCAAACATTCAAAGCAAGTTTAGTTGCTAAAGGATTTCGACAAAAGGAAGGAATATATTATTTTGACACATATACTCCTATGTGATCACATCTATTACAATTATTTTTGCTTTAGCATCAATTTTTGATCTTTATGTTCATCAAATTGATGTCAAAACGATATTTCTAAATGGAGACCTCGATGAGGAGATATATATGGAACAACCCGAAGGTTTTGTTCTACTAGGAAATGAACATAAAGTGTGTAAACTTATTAAGTCATTATATAGTTTAAAGCAGGCTCCAAAATAATAGCATGAGAAATTTGATGCAATAATTCTTTCTAATAGATTTGTTCATAATATTATAGATAAATATGTTTATCTCAAAACTTGTGATGACTATACGGTGATAGTTTACCTTTATGTTGATGATATGCTAATAGCGAGCAATGACATAAAAAGTATTGTAGAAACAAAGAGGTTTCTATCTTCAACATTTAAGATGAAAGATCTTAGGCAAGTTGATACTATACTAGGTATCAAGGTAAAAAGAAATAGTGGGGGATATGTTTTGAGTCAAACTCATTACATAGAGAAAGTACTGGAGAAATTCAATCACTTCAAAATTAAAGAAGCAAATACCCCGTTTGACCCAAGTATCAAATTAGTCAAGAATGTTGGAAGAACAATGACTCAATTAGAATATTCAAATGCTATAGGAAGTCTTATGTATGCAATGTAATGCATAAGACCTGATATAGCATTTTCAGTTAGTAAATTGAGTAGATTTACTAGCAATCCAAATGTAAAGCATTGGAAGGCTATTGAAAGAGTTCTTGGGTACCTTAAATGAACCAAAGATTATAGCCTACAATATTTAAAATTTCCTACTATTTTAGAATGATATACTGATGCAAGTTGGATATTGGGAGCATGATAATAGAGAGATTTTCTCAACTACATAGCAGATTAGATTTCTTTAACTGCATGAGAATATCTTACTGCTCAGTTGAGGAAATCCTCTCCTTCACCATATATAAATAGGCACAATATGATACTAATTGAGATGTGCTTTTCTTGTTTCTATCATTTTACTCTTCATTTTCTTAATTTTTACCCTTTGAACTCTTCATTACTTATTTTATAATGTTGAGTAGAGTTGCTATCATTGATGGATCTTTTATTCAAGGAGTTTTAGCCCTATCCATTTTGATGTTGATCTTACAACTTCTATTGTAAGAGGTTTGGTGAATGGATCAGCAAAATTCTCACTTGTTTTCACAAATATGAGTGAAATAATCCCACTTTTGATTAATTTCCTCATATAATCATGTCTAAGACTTATATGTCTTGACTTTCTATTATATATTTCACTATATGCATGAGCTAAAGTGGCTTAACTATCACAAAATATAGAAATTGAATTCACACTCTTATATGTCAATGGAATTTCTAATAGAAAGTCCCTCAACCATTCAGCCTCCTTTCCTACATCTGCTAGAGCAACAAATTTTAATTCCATAGTTGAGTGAGTTATACACATTTGTTTCTTGCTCTTCCAAGAAACAACGCCACCTCCCAAGGTGAACACCAAACCAGTAGTGGATTTGTTATCTCTAAAACTCGATCGAGCTCCTATCAAGGATATCGATCTTGGGCCGATGTAACAAAAATAGTTTATGGGCTAGAGGCTTCGTGAGTGAGTCTGCTAGTTGATCAGTCATATGTACATCAGAGACACGAAGTTGATGTCTGACAACTTGATCTCGCATGAAGTGAAAGTCGATGGCAATGTGTTTCATGCATGAGTAGAACACTGGATTGACACATAAATAGGTAGCTCCAACATTATCACAATATATTATAGGAGTAATGGTAGAGCTGACTTTGAATTCCTTGAATAGATTTGTAACCTAATTGAGTTCAGCAGCAGCGGTAGAGATAGCACGATATTCAACTTTAGTTATAGATCGAGCGATTGTCTTTTGCTTCTTAGAACTCCAACTAATCAGATTAGACCCAAAAAAGGTGATATATCTTGACGTGGAGGTTCTATCATCAAAGTTTCCCGACCAATCAGCAAAGGCATGGAGATGAAGTGGAGTGTCTTTGCGAAGAAAGAGGTCATGATTGAGTGTCCCTTTTGTAACATCCCCAATTTTTAAAAAAAAATTAGTAAAAGGTTTGTTTGTAAAAAATAAGGATTATTTAATAATTATTTTATATTAAATGATATTATATTAAAAGTTTATGGCTAGGGACCTAAGAATAAATATTAGAAGTTTGATATAATTTATGAAAGATTCAGATTTAAGTTAAAAAAATAATAATGGACATGTGTCACTAGCTAACTTAAGTTTGGTGCCACTTATCTT